GTGTCAGGAGACCTGGAGATGTTCCTCTCCCTTCCCTCGTGCCGCGGGAGCAGCAGGCCCACCTGCCTGCCCACCCCTTGGTCCAGCACCGAGGGGGAAAGGGTGGCTGCAAAATGCCCTCTCTTCCTTCTCTTGGATCTCATCCCATGTCCAATATTTTGATTGGTTTCAGCCAGAAACATCCCATATAGCTGCCACGTCTATGCTTTAGTTAAAGTTTGATATTACTTTGGCTATTTTCTGGAGGTCCTGTAGCTAGTTCCCTGCCTTTGGCAATTTCCTTTTCTACACTTTAACCAGACACGAAGCAGAAAAATAGGTTCCTTATGAGCAGTTCTGATTTCTGTTCCTTTTAGTTTTGATGTGGGCTGGATTTTTCGTTTGTTCGGTTGGTTTTATTTTTTGTTTAAAGGGGAGGTGCGTTTTGGTGCTCCTTCTCCATCGCAATCTTTACCATCTTTTTCGTGCCACTGGATTGGTGTAACAGAGTGGGGGGCTCTTTTGATGTAAGTTTAAAATACGTGTATAAAATGTATTTATTATGTGAGCTTTTACCAAAAGTGATGTCAAATTTCCAGCATGAAACCTTCAAATATGGACTTGCCCTAAACTGACAGTTAGCTGTATGAATGTGTAGATTAGCATAAAAACTCATCTGCCTTAGGGAGAATTTGAGACATGATCGCCCAGTGCTTTCTCTGATTTTTGTTGGAGAAAAACACAGTACAGAATGAATACATATTTTCCAGGAGTAATATATTGTACACGTGATGAAAGGCTGCATTTAATTTGTTGGACATATATAAAGCGATATATTTCAACTTGCAAAGCTGGGCAGCTAATCCAGCTTTCTTCCCACAACAGGCATTTGGAAATTTCTCTGGATGTGGGTTTGCTGTCCACCCAGCCAAAAGAAGTTGGCATGTGCTGCAGGTAGCTCAGCAGTGGCTAAAGCAGAGCTTTAGTGATCCACAGAGATGTCAGCGTACTGAAATGCCCAAGACACTCCTTGCTTTCAGCAAGCTTTAAAAACTAGAAATCTGATATATATATAAAAAAATATTTTAAAAATTGTACATGAAGACAATGCCACAGGATTGGATCCAAACATCCATAGCTACAAAATGCAATGGGAGGAGAAGGCGGCTGGGACAGAAGAGAAAAGGTATTTGCAAATAATAAAATGGATTTTTCCTGTTTCTCCACCTGTGCCGTGTGCCCAGCAGATGCAGCCAGCTGCTGACGGCAGGGGGGGGAGCTGATGTATCGTGAACAGCACAAAGGTAACACGGTGTTACAGCTTTGGGACTACAGCTGGCAAAGTGAAGTCGGCATCCTCTGGATACAGCCCAAAGCTTCCTCAGAATTGTCTTGCAGACATCTATCACCAGATAATTTTCCTTGCTGCTGTAAGACAGCAGAGACAGCTGGGCCTCCTAGTCTGCGCAGGCTGGGGTAGCTGTGCTGAGTGGCCTGTGCATGTCAGTACCGTAGGCAGATCAGAAGCTGGACCTATCTGAAAGCTTTGCAATGTCATTCTTTGGTATGGATTTAGAGATGAAGGGGAAATAAACCCATTTTGGGCTTCCTCCGTCATTGAGCCTGACCAGGTATCAGTATCAGGAGATCTACTTTGCAGATAGTTAACAGAAATACTCTCTTTTCCCAGTACGACTGTAGTAATATGCAAAGGTGTTTAGAATTAAAATTTGTGATACAGAAAGTGGCTGGATCCTAGAAGTTGAGCAGGGGGTTTGCAGCCAGAAACGTAAATTTTGATTGTGCATGAGGTTTGTGTGAGTAGCCTGACCCTTTCCCACTTCAACTGTATGTTGTGTCACAGCTCACGGAGGCGTTGCAGGGGTTAGATTTTGTCTGTGCAGGATTTCACTCTTCCACTGATGAGTGTTTTTTATCACTATTTGTACTCTCTTCTGCATGAAATATTTTGTTGAATATGTAATAGCTTGAATTATGTTTACATATAAATCTAATGAATTTGTAGGCTGCACATTGCATGCAAGCAGGGTGATTGTGCTGTTGGGAGCCTGGAGCCACAGCACTCCTACACCTGTGTGTGTGGCATACACCTGTGATCTGCAAAGCTGCTTTTTTTTTTTTTTTAATTATTATTTTATCTATTTAACACTCATACTATATGTTTTGGGGCAGTGTGGACAGTTCAAGGAGGTGCGGGTGTATAGAGTACAATATGTCTCAGGCATGAAGTATGAACTTCAGGGATCTCTTGTGTGAGTTTTTAACAAATGTACTTCCTGATAAAAAAAATCTCAGCAGTGCAAAATTAGATCCATAGAGAGCCTTGAATAATTACGGTGGGTTTTTTTCTTCTTGTTTTCTCCACAGCTGTTCAAAACTGTGGGTTTACTTGTATTTTAACTGTATGTTAAGTATATGGGATGAACCTGATTGGATCCAGATCTAATCATATTTCAAACATTTGTAAATAACAATAATGACACTTCGTATCTGTGTGCAAGATGTTATGTGTGAGATTAGATACGAGCCCAAAATAGTAATCAGTTCCATATTAGCTTTTAATAAACAGAAATTTGAATAAAACAGTTTTTAGAAAAGTACAGAATAAAAGCAGAAAATAGCTCTTTTGTATTAACCACTGGTATAAATCCCAAGATGTCTTGTTTTAAAGTAATAAATTGCGCTCTTCACTAAATTGTTATATGGAAAATATTGCAGTTAATCCACAGTACTGCTGGTGTCTTACAGAATATAGGTATTAACCTTTCCTCATCTTTCCCCCCTTTTTTAGCAAAGGCAAAAAATACTTTCCTCGTATTTCTGAAATTAATTATTAAAGGAGGCACTGAGAAATCAAATTCCTACCAGAAGCTGGTTTAGTTATGCTGTGTCTTAATGTTATAAGTTTGAGAAAAACATTTCACTATTTACTAAAGAGGAATGGTTTCGAACTGCACTATGCTAGATCATGACCAAAACCTAATTTGGTTTTACTTGATTGTTCAGCTGAGATATCTGTTGACTGTAAATGATAAGTAGAAGCTATGGAAGTGTTTGCAAGCTGATGTTAGGGTCTTGCTTATGTTGAGTTTTTTTGTATCAATGAATTTATTTCCACAGTTATTTAATTCTGTAGTAACAGTTCTGTTGTTTTAGCCTACTAGGAAAAGCCTAGGATTTATGTGACTTTCAAGGAATAGTTTGAAAATAACCAATTGAACAGAGCAGCTCTGAGAGTGGAGGTGTGATTATTTTGTCAGGCTCACAGCATGGGGAAGAGGGCGTCCTGTTAACTCTGCAGCTACAAAGACAGTAAAAAATAAACTTGGTTTTATACTCACTAATATATCTACTAAGTATTTTAAAATTCTTTCTCTTTCAATCTGGCATCTGAATATAGGAAAAAACTCCACTATTTTGGCTTCTCTATTCAGAATGTAAGCTAGAGGAAAATATCCTGCAGATCAAGTCTATCGGAGGAGCGCTCCCGTATTTGGTGTAACAAAAATGAATCTGGGTTCAGTAGCCACTTTTCTGTCAGATGCAGAGTCAATAACCACCTCTGTCACTCTGTGGTTTCTAGCAGCCAAGAGGCATCAGCCTTCCTCTTCCCGACTTTCCTCAAAAGTCTGTCTGCCTGCAGATCTTAATTACATTGGTGCACAGCATCTGATGGGATTTATGACCCTATCTGTGACCTCTACGCTGAGATTTATTTCTATCCTAATGCAGAGGAAAATTAATACGACTCATTGTCTGGTAGCTCTATAGTTTTTGAGCTTATGGACTCATAAATGTAGAAAAAAATTATTTCTGGCTGTGATAGTAATCACATGTATAGCAGCATGTAGAGAACATAGCATCCGTTGAATGAGATGTTGTATGAAAGTGGAGTTCTACCTAGAAAGAAGTGTACATAAAAATAACTCCACAGCAGTGGTTGCTTATGTTGATAATGAATTTTAGTTATGATGTATATAATAAAGAATGCTTCTCTGAAAGTAGAGGAAGGTGCTGTTCATAACAAACCTTTAGTAAGTAATACTTTAAGCTCTTTTTTGACGCTCCCTTCCAAGCTTTTTAGGGAGGTATATTTGTTGAGGCACAGGAAGGCATTGAGATACCCAGTCAGCCCAGTAAAGTGAAAATCTTTCAAGCCACTTTGCGCACTGATTTTAAAAAGCAAATAAAGTGACAGAGGTTTTATAGATTCAATACCAGGACACAGACAAATCTTAAATTGTTACGAAAAACAGCTTTCTTAGCTTATGGAACTCAAAAATATATTCATGATGTTAGTTTCTGAACACTTTTTTTTTTTTTTTTTGAGGTTAGACAATCTAGGTTTTAGTCATTCTAGTTAGAAGAAAGCTCAGTCCCTATTCAGG